CCATCCTGCAGGCCAGGCCAGAACAAGCACATCTGTGTGTATCACAGGCTACATAGAGAACTCCACCAAGCATAAGGGGCTTCAAGCCCCCAGACAATGAAATTGCATCTTCCAAGGGTTCGCTTTCCCCAGCTAAAGATCACTCCACAGAGCTCTTTTCCTGGACTGTCAAATGGAAGGTGACAGTGGAGGACACAGAGAGGAGCTGCCCCACTCACAAGATCCCTGAACTCATTTTTCTTTTACCCTAATAAGGACATGTACACACCTACCAGGACCGGCATTGCCATGGCAACAGCTGAAGGCCAGGGTGAGCAGGTTAGTGGAACAGCATGCTTTCTAAATTCTCTCCCAAGGGCCTGAGGCTGCACTCACTCCTGAGACGTAAAAGATGTTGACAGTGTTCCTAAATGGACTCCAAAAGAACTTACAGGACATAGTTTCCTTGGGAGGACTAGTTAAAGATGGAGTCTTTCCTTGAGGATTTAGCACGGTCAGAAAGGCAAAAATCTATAAAATGAATAAGAGCATGGATCCCCCTATAAAACTAGGACACATAACCATGTCCACTTCCCACAGCGTAAGAGATGTGACAAATCAGGACAAAAGCAATCCTACAAGGAAATAGACAAGCAGTTAAATAAAATCTCAGTAGCACAGCCTCCCTGAAGAGTCTACTCAGAGAAACTCTGAATTTTGAAGGTAAAGAAAGGATAGATTCATCTCTTTTATGAGAAATCACAAAATGTCTGTTTATTACTAAATGTTTTTCTTTGGACTCTTTACTATGTGAGTACTATGTCATTTAATTCTAATGACTTCATAAGGAAGACACTACTCTTATGTTCATTTTACTGAAAAAGAAACTGAGCATAGAAAGGTCCTGGGGATATACAGCAACTGAGTGGCCCAGAAAGAAAAAAAATCCAAGGAATGTTGCTCTGAGTCTGGAGCTTGAGTGTTTAGCAATTATCTCTGGGGTCTGGGAAAATCCCCTGCTTCCCACAAGAATCATAAACAAATAGCTTCCTCACAGTTTCCGAGCCTCTAAACATACTAGGTGGCATCAGAAATATTTACTCTAGCCCAGTTCATTTTTGCTGTTATTGATTTGTGATTTTGGTACTGGGGATTGAGACCAGGACTTCCCACATGACAGGTAAATGCTCTAGAACTGAGTTACAGTCTAGTGCTCTTTTCACTTTGCATTTTGAGACTGTCTCATTAAGTTGTCCAGGTTGGCTTTGAACTTGCAATCCCCCTGGGGCAGCCCCTTGAGTAGGGCAGGTTGCAGACCTGAATCACCAAAGCCCCTTCTAGACCAGTTCCTAAAATTTAGGGTGCATTGAGAACACATGGAGGGCTCGTCTAAACACTCTGCCTTCCTAACAAATTCCTGGATGTTGTTGGTACTCTACCCCAGGAACTACACTTTGAGAACCACTGTCTAGTACCCTGAGTTATCTAGCTAAGCCTAGGTGCCTTAGAGCCTATCCCACCCAATTAATCTTTACTGTTTAGTCCCAGGTCCCCTGGGGCCTTGCTTCACAGGCTATAATGTTATCTTTGGCAGTGCTGTGTGCCTTGGAATTCCCCGAGCTCTTTTGATAAATAGAGAGAACAGTTATTATCCCTGTTATCCCTGGGGGATGGACTCCAGGACCATCACAGACACCCAAATCAGTTGATATTCAGATCACATATAAAATGGTGCAGTGATTGCCTGTTATATCACAATCCTCCTGTGTACTTTATATCATCTCCAGATGAGTGGTAACGCCTAATACAATGAAAATACTATGCACATTTTTACCTTGTACTACTTAGGAAAGAGTGACAAGAAAAGAAAATGCCTGTGTGTGTCTGGTACAGATGCATCTTTACCACATAGTTTCTATTTGTGGTTGCTTGACTCCATGGATGAAGAACTTGAAGATTCAGTTGGGTTTCCCACTCTAAAATATTGTTACTGTTGTTTAGTGGGTTGTCTTTGTTTTGTTTGAAATGGATTTTTTTTTTTTTTTTTTAGAGAAAGAGTCTCCCATGTAGATTATGTTGGTCTCAACTTGAGATACCGCTGCATCAGGCTCCCCTGCACTGTCACATCCAGTCTGCACATCTGGCAGGTCTTCAGATTCTATGAACTGTGTAAAGAGGAGCCTTGAAGAACCAACAGGCAAGGGCGGCCTGATCCACTGCAGACAGCCAAACCAGTCTCCTGGCAAGCAGGGACCATCTTTTCTAGAATCTCTTGGGATTTCCTCTGGGAATTAATCACAAGAGACTATTCATTAAGACTTTTTCAGGGCATTCACCTAGACAAAGTTAAAAGGTTGTAACACCTGTCCATGTCTGGCCCTTTAATACCCCTCTCTCTAAAACACATTCCTCCATCCTTGCAGGGGCTGTGACTATATTTTGTGCATTCGCTGCTTAGCTAATTTTCTCTGTGCTCAGTCTCATGGGAAGCTGGAGGGAAATAAGGAGGCATGTGATCCAGTTCTGCTTACACAAAAGGCAAGGCTGGAGAACAGGGGCCAGTAATCAGAATTAACCAATTTAATGCCTGACTTGTTTATCCCATAGAGAACATCACCTATGACGCCTCCATTGATCCCTTCAGAATATAGCTTCTTTATCCTAGGCTTCTACAGACTGTGAAATTAAATGAACACCTTACCAACAAAGCAGAAGACTTAAAAGGGAAAGCAACTCCAAGAAGCACACACATGAATAAGGAGCAGGGCACAGCAGGTCCAGGTTCCTTTATGCCTGTGGTCACAGCCACTGCCGGTGTTGGTGTGAAAAGAGCAGTTAGTGGCAAGGCACAAGAAGAGCTCAGACACATGTGTAAGGGGCAAGAAGCACAAGAAACAAACCTTCTAGAAGCAACCGCACCTTCACCATGAAGCACTAAGAATGATGCAATCAGCAAAAAGCGGGATATGTTTAAGATTGAAAACCAACTTTGAAGAAGCATTTTCCTTTTCTTCAGGGAACAATGAATAAACCCTCCTCACCCCACATCCAGGAGGATGACTGGACTGTATAGATGTGTGAATGACCCACATAACCTCAAAGGACCTGTATCTGGGCCTACAAATGAAGACTATTGAATTCTAACCAAGAAGTCGGAAGTCAAAGCCAGATAGTAGATTACACAGCGCATAAGTATTTTCCCCCAAAAAACGGGTAAATAGACTACTGGGGCATTGATGCTACATGTCAACTACTGTGTTCAGCCCTTCTTTTTCTTTTCATTCTCATGACAAGTCAATAACAAAGGCGTTATTATGCTCAACTTAGAGAAAGAACAAATTAAAAGATAAGCATTTAAGAACTTTGTTTATGTGCATTCAGTAAGTAAGCTTGGCATTGGAATTCAGCTCAGCTCTCACTCTAAATTATAATCTTAATCTTTATACCATTCCTCTCCAAACAACAAAAAACACACTTTGAGTTCTAGTGCCCAAAAGTACAAAGGACAGGGCACAAGGCAGAGGAGAACCCTTTTAACTTCATGTAATTGGTGTGGGGGCATTTTGTACATTTTGTAAAGCATGGTTAGGTCACCACGGAGTAATTGGAAAATGTGAGCTCTACCCAGTCCATGAGGGCTATGAGTCATGTGTCAGCAGCCAGCAAGGAAGCAGAGCCATGGAAACTCATCATCTGTCTCCATCAAAAATATGGATCATGGATAGTTGGGCTCGATGATCTCCAGGCTCCACCCCTTCCTAAGAAGCTTTTGGCAGTGGATAGATGATAGAAGAGAGAGAAAAGAATTTTTTGAGGATGTGGCAACTGGTAGGTTTCCCGTTCTCCAGTGCATGGCCCTACACACATGCACATATGGGCGGCACTAACTGGCTATCAAAGCAAATGACATGAAGTTAGGAGAGGATATGTTGGGGAGATATGAGGAAAGTCGGAAGGGGTAAATGGGGATTAGATACAATCATATTTCATTGTATACTTGTATGAAATGCTCAAAAGTAAAAAATTAAGAAAAATAACATTATGCATTAGGAACTTATATTCCCAACATCCTTTTGAATCTGAAGGAGAAACCTGGGTCCCAAACAGGAAATAATCCACAAATGTTCCCATTTTACATGTGTCTAGATATTTACACCAGCCAATGTCATTCATGAGAAGATATATGTAAAGCTAGTTCCCAGCTCACCAAACTAACCTATGTTTCCATGACAATAAGACTAACGCCAAAGGAAGGGAGGGTGACCAGACCTGACTTCATGTGTAACCTTGAGTAGCTCTGACATGTCTAGGTGTCTCTTCACCCTACAGCATTTAGCATTCTGAGAACACACTCCTCCCTCCCTTGTTCATTGGCACTGAGGTTGCCGATTTGTTCAACGGACTCTTTCATGTTCTTATCCTTGCCATCTGGCAATATTAGCTGTCTAATAAGTTGCTTCAACTTGTGCGTTTTTGGCAAATCGTACTTTTAGTTGACTTGTGAAAACACTCATAAATAGCAAATGCTGCTTGATTAGAATAAATGAAAGTCCTTAGAGTTGCCAGCAAAAAAATAGGCCTTAACTGCACATGCTATTCAGCCTAATCATTTGAAAGGCATCTGGCTATTTTTAGAAAGAAGTCCTCACGTATACCTTCTTATGTCATCTGTTTTATATACGTGCATGTGTTCATTTTAATCTGGGTGGATTCTTACAAGGCAGCATGCTTTGCAGCCATGTTATATACACAAGTTATATACAGAAGCTGTGTGAATGTGGGTTCATTCCTGAACTTCTGTTTCTTCAGTCTTTAAAATGAAAATAGGTGTAATAAGTTCTTGGTGACCTATTTTCAACTCTTGAAGAACTCCAAGCACAAAGTCAGAACAATCATGTATGTACACAGAGACTGTGTTTGTATGGAAGAAAAGCATCAAAAAGGAGCTGTCTCTTACAAAACCAGGCCATTTGACCAATTTCCAGAACCCAAACAAGAAGAGAGAGATCCTGACTCTTTACCTGGTGTTGCACTGGATACTGTTGGCCACTGCTGATCAGGCCCTCCTGGACCAGCCCGTAGAATGCCGGCCTCTTCCAGATGCACAGAGCTGAGTAAACACACAGACCCAGATAACAGTTAGACCATAAAAGCTTTTCCAACTCTCCTCCCACCCTCAGAAATTGCCTCCATTATGAAGGGAGGGCGGCAGCTAACACTCCCTGCTCATGCTTAAACTGCAACCATTACTGCTGAGCAGTCACCTTGTAAAAGTGCAAAACCATTGCTGACTTACTGCCTGCTGCGCCACAGTGATAATAACGCGTTCTGTCTTTACGGCAGTTTTGGTTTTCATTAATGCCTTGTGGTGCCCACTAAATCTAACAAAAGACCCACAAGAGGACAAATGCCATTTTAACATCTCAGTGATGACGAGGGAAGCTTCTTCTCCAAACTCCCAACCCTCTCTCAGGTTAAACACAACAATATTGTCAGCAGTAATATCAGTTTGGATACCCAACTCATCCCTGGGAGGGTGGGTGTGCATGCACGGCTGAGAATTGAACACTAGGCCTCATACATGCTTGCTAAGGTCTCTATCACTGAGTTATGTCCCCAGCCCTTCCTAATTTAAACAGCATGTCACTAAGAGGACTGGCTTGAAGCTGGCTTTGAAAGTTGCTGTTTTTCTCTGTCTCCCAAGTAGTTGGAGTTATAGGCATGTGCTACCATACCCTGCTCAACTATTTTGTTAGTTTTTCTGAAAGAAAAGTTTATTTGATATACTACAAGGAACAGAAGGATGGACAGACAGTAACAAAAGTATTGCCTGCTATCAGCCCTGATTAATTCTTAGCATTACTTCTGTTTTATTTTTTCTGTATTGTTTTATGAATAGGTGGTCTATCCAACATATCCTAGGACAAGAGAAACCAAATCACAGTAATTTATAGATCCTCATTCAGAAGAGATTAATTCAGCACAAAACACTGCTGGGACATCATCTCAGAGACTCACAGAGGCTAGCAGAGAGAAAACAAACTATCCAGGGGCAGAAAGAATACTGTGTCTATTTATGTATGTCTATAGCTAGTGTACATCAGAGCTTCAAATATATCCAGATAGAGGAAGAAGGAAATTGGGATCCCAGCTCAGTAAACTGGGAACATTCTCCAAAGTTGGAGGACACTTTTAAATCAGACATTTGCTTGTCCTCAGATTAAATTACTAAAACCTCAGTGACTGACTGAAGGAGTCACTTGAGACAGAGGATCACAAGTCGAACAGGAAAGGGGATCTATGCGCCCAGCAGTCCCTTGCTCTTTCACTCCAAACACACTGGGTAGAAATCCACTAAGCTGTGACCTAACACCAGTATCCTTCATTTCCAACCTAGAATTTTCTAATTGTTTTTGCAAATATTTATGTCCTTTGGGAGTTTTTGGATCTACCCGAAAATTATATAGACATAAAGATGTAACTTCCCTGCAACCGGTTCAGCTCAAAGCAGATTTAAAAAGTAAAATAAGAGTGATAAGATGCCTCCCGAGGTTAGACACACCAAGAAGCCAATGCACTGTGAGAAGGAGGCATTCTTTAAGCTCACAGCTCTGATACATGTTCAACGCACTATGAAGTGAAAAAGATGCAACGTCTTAGTTTCAAATTGTATTTCCTTTCTTATCTACTTAAATCTCTTAATATAGTAACTGCAACCCGAACAAGAGCAAATTTGGTCATCTGTTTATGGAACAACAAAGTGGTAATTCCGTTAATATTTTATTTTAAACACAATTTTTAAAAAGCTGCACCTCAGCCAGGTGGTGGTGGTGCATGCCTTTAATCTCAGAACTCAGGAGGCAGAAGCAGGTGGATCTCTGTGAGTTCAAGGCCAGCCTGGTCTACAGAGTGAGTTCCAGGCCAAAACCCTTTCTCCAGAAAAAAAAAAAGCTGCACCTCACAGCTTTGGTATCTTTCAAGCAAAACACTAATTCAATTGCAATGATAAAAGCTGATACTGTAAAAAGAGCTTAATTTACCTAATGCCCAGCTCCACAAACATCTCAGCTACAGAAAAAAAGCACAGCTCAACTCTAATAAATACAAACAACTCCTCTGATGCCTCATAGGAGAGCATCTGTATGAGTGTCTCTAGCTTAAAATCATGACTGTGGTTCCAGCACGACATCTCAACAAGCCAGTTACCAATCTTCAGCCCTTCCCTGATTGCTCCTGATTCAGAAATAGCACCCACATAATGATCTCTGATCATTTGTAAGCTTGAGAAGGCATTAATTTATTTTAATCTAATGCATGTTTAATGAGCTAAAATTATATTTTCATTAATTCTACACACACTATTCTACAAGATTTCTCTTTAGACATTGGCCTAGGTTTGATGAAGACTCAATTAATAATTGTCAAGATATTCTGAAGGGCTTAAAGTCTGGAGTTCATTTCTTCTTCAAAGTTAAGTTCTTTTGCTAGTTCTTGAGCCTCCCTATCTGGTTTCCAAAGACAGTCACAAATAATGAATCTTTCATTTGGCCCTATGGCATGGACACATCAGCTCTGGGAATCAGTTACTGTCAAAGAGACAAAGTAGACAAGACAAAACTATATTAAATCTGAGTCTTGAGCAATGCTATTACTCTAAGTTGATCTAAAGCAAGCTAGATTTGGTCTCCAGATAGTCAATAAAGTCCTGAACGTGACTCTTCTCTAAAGAGCCCACAATATTGGTAACAATAAGAGAGCAAAATGATGGAGAAGACAGAAGATTCTAGCAGGGGCAAACATAAACAACAATAGCTATCATTTATGGTGATATGTTGTATACCCTAGCAAACTTGTCTGAGGATCAGAGGACAGAGCCAGCCACTAGATTAGACATAGAGGTCAGGCAATGGCCGCACACACCTTTAATCCTAGTACTTGAGATCTCATGCCTGTGCTTGGGAAGCACACACGCCTTTAATACCAGGAAGTAATATGGCAAGGTAGAGAAAATGTAAGGTGTGAGAAAATAGGAACCCACTCTCTTTAGGCTGAGGATTTTGTAGAGGTAAGCTGACTGTTCTGCTTCTCTGATCTTTCGGCTTTCACCCTGATATCCGGCTCTGGGTGTTTTGGTTTTGTTTTTTTTTTTTAATGAAAAGACCATCTAAGATTTGAGCAATCATTTATTGTGGCTAACAGTGTGTAATGGTCAGGATAAGATAGAAGAACAAGGAATCTGAAATAAGAAAGAATGTATGTATATATATTTATAATGCACTCAACTCTGAAAGCTTCTGACTTGTATTAATTAAATTTTTTTAAGAGAGAGACAAAAACTATAGTTGAGAGGGGATGAAGAGTCAGAATTATCACAGGAAATTTAAAATAGTTTTAAGTTGATACAAAAGTTTTTAAGCTGAGATATCCTTGTAGGAATTTTGATGGAAGTACAGAAACCTGCCGATGATTCCACATGGCATTTTCATTTCCCAGCACTCAATAAGCATTTGGCACTGATTACTTCCAATGTTTCAAGAAATAATCATGGAGACAAAAATAATTGCATTCCCCGGGTAGAGTTTTTAAAGCTTCTTAATTTAAACAGCTGCTTCTGGCCTATGGAGATACAGTTTATCTAACAGAGCCCACTTCAAGTTCCTCCCAAGTGAAGGAAAGAAGGAAGGACATACATACCTGTGCATGCCTGCTCTTAGCGAGGCAGAGTAACGCCAGTCAGGGTTGGGCTGTCGGGGCTGCAAAAATAACAAAGGAAGTTTGCTGTTAACATGGCAAATCAATGTGCTCCCAGGGTAGTATTAATCGATTAGTTGTCCCTTAAATATTTTCATGCATCCAATCAAAAATACCAAATGGGACATTCATATGGAATGCTGAAATGAAACCCATAACACACATCACTTTTAGGAGAAAATTAAGTTACATGACCCAGACTGAATATCAAGGAAATCCATATTTAGGGTGCTGTGAGGGTCACATTTAGCTTTACCCTGCCTAATATAAGTCTATGTTCATAAAACACTAGAGCAATCTGTCTTATGACAGGAAAAAAATTCCTCTTTTTTTACTCTCAAATGCCCCATCAAAGGCACACCTTCAATTCTGTAGTCTAGCTACAACAATACAAGATTACACAATTTCTGCCGACCTGGCTGGACTGCAGAGGACTGCAATCTACTGCTGGCTTTGCAGACTGCAGCATGCTTGACCTGGGAAGGATGTGCCCAGTCATAACACTAGCAACTGATAACAGCCTCTTCTCCTGATGGAAGAGGGATAGTAGAGAGAAGAAAACAAACCATTGCAGTGTGACCTTGTTTTGCCACCGAAACCTTCTCATAAATCTGTACTGGCTCCCTCCTCCTCTCTCACGATTTACCTCCTCATTCAACTCTCTTCACTAGGCTCTGACTGCTTCGCAGGAAGTAGCTGAAATCCATGAAGACCCTGACTCTTTCTGCACCACCTGTGTCCCAGAAGGAAATTTTGTGTGCCCTCTGCCCACAAACTGTCATTCCAAAGTAGAACTGATAAAGAGGAAATTATGGGCACCTGAAGACTGGGTGGGGAGCTATGAAGTGGGTAGAAGGTACTCAGAATCACTAGAGACAAACCAGGCATGAACACTAAGGTGCAGTTGAGTCAGGAAATGGAAGGGGTTGTAATTTGTATTTTCCCCCGGGTTACATAATCATAGTTAGCAACATAAAGCTATAGCAATGCTAATAAACTATTTCAAAGTACAAACTAGTCTCACCCCCACCATTCATACAGTTCGTGCAAGCAATGTGAAGTATTTTCATAAACACACTTCATAAAGCCCAGAGAAGTGATGGGGCCAGAATCCCAACCTTCTAACAGATTTATGGATGTCTAAGCAGGACCCAGAGAACCTAAATCAATGCCTAGAAAAGTGGTGACTCTGAATACGGCACCCAAGTCTCATCTCCCCACCACCACCCCATACAAGCTGTCACCTCATTCTCTTGTATTCTGCTGGCAAGATACGTATATGTAACTAGCTTCATCCTTGGTTTTCAAATCTATAACATGCTATTGTTGTTCCATATAAAGTAGCATAAATTACCCATAGACCAAATAAAACAAGTTTCCATTTTCTACAAGTATTGTTGGAGGCAACAAAAGAGAATGTTTGTACATAATTTCACGAACCTGATAACATGACTAAAATACATCTGATTAAGTTTTCATCATCACTGTCTTCTCAGCCATTGGCAATACCAGTGTCAGCTTGTCTGTGGAGAAAATCCTTTTACAAAGATTCTGACATCTGCTGAGTAACTGTTGCTTATTTTTCTATGATTGGGTAACACTCATGATGAAAATTACTGCAACTTGATCTTTGGGATGAAATCACTAACCTCAATTTGCTGAAAGGCACAGTTCTATTAGGACTGAACAGGAGACTCACTTTATTACACAATTTCACTTCCTCAACAACACATTTAATTTGTCATGTTGCTATTTTCAATAACAGTCGATCGGCAACAACATACTTCTCAGATTCATTTGCCAGAATGATAGTTATGAGATTTCTTATGGCAATAAGATCAGACAGGGACGAAGAAAGGAAGAAAGCAATTAGTATATTTTAATTCACCATCTAATACTACACAAGGAAATAAGCGCTTCTATTGGAATACTTTCCTAGCCAGATGATACATTCTATGAAACTGATTGTATCTGTTTTACTCATAAAACACACAGATATCCTCATAATATTCATAAATGCAGGGCTATATCCTTAGAATTCAGCATTGGATATGTTTTTAAAGGGTTTTTTTTGTTTTGTTTTGTGTGTATGTGGTTTTTTTCAAGACAGGGTTTCTCTGTGTAACAGCCTTGGTTGTCCTGGAACTCACTCTGTAGACCATGCTTGCCTTGAACTCAGAGAGATCTATCTGCCTCTTCCTCCCAAGTGCTGGGATCAAAGGCATGTACCATCATTCCCAGCCTTTTAGACTATTTTTAAATAAATGAACTGTCACAGAAGTTATGATCTATAAAGATAAAGATAATTATGTAAAGACACTAAATGTGCCTGATTGGTGAATATATAGTTACTTCTATGTTCCTAGATACTGATTCATCTTAAAAGAATACAAAATTGAAACTCAAAATGCATATAAGTTTCATACTTTGATTTTATTCAATTTGGAAAAAGTTCAAATTGAAAGGCTGACTACCTACGTATCTGCTACAAGACACTAAGGCCTTGGACTAATTGTGATTATTTACCTCAAAAATATTTTAATATTACATATCTTGGTTTTGTACATATGTTTATTCATTTGAGAGAAGGTATCATGTGCCCAGGATGGCTCAAATTCACTATGTCAAGACTTGCCTTGAATTTTTGATTCTACCAACTCTACCTGCCAACTGCTAGGATTAAGACTCAGTGGGCTGAATTTCCATTGGTGAATTACTCCGGTTTAGTCTTTTAATACATTAATAGTCACAGAACTCTAGATGCAGAAAAAGTCAATTAGGTAATCCATGTGGGTGATGCAATATTACTGAAGAACAAGCACCAACTTGAGTTCCTGCTCAAATTATAGCAAAAGTTTAATTTATCCTGTTACCGAATTATTTGTGATTTATGCCATAGGATACTTAAGCAACAGAAGGATGAATCACTTCTAAGACAGTTTAAAGTAAAACAGGTTTAAAATATCCTGTTATTCATAAACTCACATGAATACTCAGTGAAATAAAATGCTGTCTTTTCGGCCAGACAGTGGTGATGCACACCTTTGATCCTAGCACTCAGGAGGCAGAGGCAGGCAGATCTCTGTGAGTTTGAGGCCAGCCTTGTCTACAGAGGGAGTTCCAGGACAGTCAGGGCTACACAAAGAAACTCTGTCTCAAAAAAACCAAAAACCAAAATCAAAAACAACAACAAAACCACTGTCTTCTTACCATGCATGTTGCTGTTGGATTTGTCAATAAACTACTCTTGCAAACTAGAAAGTATATGTAATATCTCCTTGCCCATTCAGAATGTCTCCACAGCCAATTTTTCATAGTGCTATCTAATAGACATTGATCTAAATTGCAGTAGGCAGAGTGCTAAGGCAAGCTCGAGACCCCCACACCAAATGCACATATCCTGTATAATCTCAAGACTCAGGCTGTGGTGGACTTATCCTCATAATTGTGTTTAGACAGCTCAACTGTCCTTTTTTTCATTTAATTTTTTATTATGAAATTTTTTATTCATTCCACATACCAACCACAGACTCCCCCTGCCCCTCTGTCTTTTTTAAAGGGGGATTACTCTGGTAAGACTAACCTAATTACAAGAGCCTTTTACATTCAAGTCTAGAAGTCCCAGACAGAAGCCAGAAGGATGTGAAGCATGAGAGAGACTCCACGTCACAGGAGATTCTTTAAGGCCAGCCCTGAGAGCAAGTCACATGACAGGACCTAAGCAAGCTCTCTCTGAGCTGAGAGTAATGGTCCCTCCTTGGCCCCAGCAAAAAGAGATAAGCCAGCATAGGATTCTGTCCCCAAGGAAGTGAACTCTGCCAACAATCTGAATGAATTTCCAAGTAGACTCTTCTCCAGAACCTCCAAAAGAGTACCTATCCACTGTGTTGAGTTTTTTAGCTTTATGGAAACTGAAGTAAAAAACTCAACCACATAGTGCAGGACTTTGAGACACTAAATGGATGAGGTTTTAACCACTAATTCGTGGTAATTTGTTACAGAGAGCAATAGAAAATGAATGCATTAAAGCAAAACATAACACTGAAAAGAATCATGACTATATCACACATTGGTCTTTCAGTAAATCAAAATTGGAAGGGGATAAACTTGAGGATTCTGGGTAGAAAACTTGCTTCTAAGTACAACATGTAAACTCCAAGCTACAGGGAATGAAAGGAAAATAAATTAAAATATGCATAATAAGTTCTAGTACAACAGAAAGTGTAAGGTCTGGTTATTCTGGATGCTAGTACAGCAGCTACTCTGTTACACACAATCGCATCTCTCTGGAGCCAGCAAGGCCGGAAAGAAGCTGGCATTTCTCTCCACCTTTGCAATGTCAGATATTTCTTTGCATGTGCCAAGTTCAAATTCTTGAAAAGAAAGAGCTTGCATAATTTTTAGGTTAGCAGATTTAAAACATTACTAAAGAGCTCTCTTGACCTCTGAATTTTTATGTCATGGCTACAGGTTATACTCGTCAAAATATTATATTAATCAGGTAAATTATGTTCATCTTATAATATACATGGAAACTCTGACTCAAGTGAGGTCCTGTAAAAGTCACATTTAAAAACACCTGTAAAACGAAACAAACTAACTAAAAAAAAAAGCCAGGCAGAGATGGTGCACACTTTTAGTCCCAGGACTCAGGAGGCAGAGGCAGGTAGATTTCCGTGAGTTCAAGGCCAGGCTGGTCTAAAGAGTGAGTTTCAGGACAGCCAGGGCTACACAGAGAAACCCTGTCTTGACAAATCAAACTAAACCAAAACAAAACACAAATGGTTATAATAGATAACAGACTGTGATAATAGACTACAGGGGACATGAAGTCAGAATGGGAGCTACTTGAAAGGAGGGAGGAGTCCAGCTGGTGGGGGGAGAACCAATAAAAAGAAAGTAAGAAAATTCAGTGATGCAACCAATCATTGTGTATGTTTACAGAAGGGGGAGGAAGAACATAAAGAGGAGGAAGAGGAAGAAGGAATGAAGGAAGGAGGAG